GGCCGCTGGGGCTTCTTCCTTCCCTCATGCGCGCGGCGGAGAGGGCGCATGCACCCTTGTTCTATGCATGGGAACATATGATCAGGAGGCCCTACGATGCAGCAGGACCAGGCGGCGGCGCTGAAGAAGCAATTTGGCACCAGATGCTCGTGGACGAGGGGGCCAACAGGCCCGAAGGCATCACCACAGCCACGGCAGCCCTGGATCTGGAAAAGGCCTTCGCACACACATCTATGCACAAGCTTTGGGAGGTTGCACACGAGGTCGGATTTCCACGACGGGTGTTGAAGATGGAGACTTCAATTTTCACATGTACCAGGAGCATGGCCTTCAGGGGAGTCACAAGCTCGCGCAGTGGCTCCACATACTCTGCGGTGGTCGCTGGCAGCACCGCGGGCACGCGAGCCCTCAACATGGTGGCCATCAGGGCGTTGGACAACGTCATGGCGCGCTGGCCGCATACGTACATCACTTTGTATGTCGACGATGTCATGTCAGCCTGCAGCGCAGATCGGACCCCATCACGATTTCAGAGGAGTTGGGAGACGCGGTCGCCTACTACGTCGACCAAGTCGAGGGCGACGGCCCCCCCGTCTCGCGTCGCCGAGACGGCGGCGCTGCAGGCAAGGGTTTTGTTCTGACAGCCTCACGCCGAGCACGCCAGGCATGCAAGCACTGGGCAGGCCGTTTGGGCTTTGATTTTAAACCATTGAGTGACCAGCTTGGCGTTGATAGTGCTGGCGGCAATATTGTGAGAGTCCGAGGACGAATCTGGGGCCGTGAGCAGGTTGCCCTTAGGAGGAAGCGCAAGATAACGGCCCTCGCTCGCCAGGGGGCGCGCGTCGGCAAGGTCGTCCGCTGCGGCCTTATCCCACCCCTCACCCACTGCACTTCCTGTCTTGGCATGAACCCCAGCATGCCCCACATAACGAGGCAACTAGTGGCGAGCAGTCTGGGGGGAGCGGCCATTGGCAAGGACCGCACCATGAGACTTTGGCTCCGTCACGTTGACCCAGTGATTGAGGCATGCATCAAGCCGCTGTTGCAGTGGGCCATTGAAGTTTTCAGCGACCACGCCCTGTCAGAGCTCAGCGCTGGATGGAGACAAGCGTGCAAGGCTTTAGCAGCACGACCGCTCGCGAACCGCCGGAGGCAGGTCCGCGGGCCAGCGTCGGCAGTGCTCGCCACGCTGGGCAGGCTAGGATGGCATTGGCTAGCCTATCATGCGCACATCACCCACACTGGTTTCTGCATAGACCTCCGCCGCACAGCCCCCACTTCCCTGAAGGGGCTGGTGACGGCGAGGCTCGAAGCCATCGAACTCACTGCGTGGGCCTCTGCCAGGAACCTCAGTTCTGTTCGACCTGGTTTGGAGCCCATCCGCGCTGCCCTCCGACAGCGGCGGAACTTCCCTGGGCGCCAGCAGGCCATTTTGGCCTTGTGTGCAAATCGTCCTGGACCCAGGACAAGGTTTGGAAGGCTGGACATAGCGACACTCGAGAGTGCCAACTCTGCCAAGAGCCAGAGGGCACACAGCATCACCGTTTCTGCAATTGCCTTGGTTTTATTGTTGCACGAAGAATTGCTGCAGAGGAGGTGCCCGAGTTTGCCCAGAGAGCGGCGGACTCCTCGCCCACCTCCCTCCTGTTCCCGAGAGGCCTCACCGCCCATGCCGTAGACGACCCTTTTTCCTTGATCCAGGACAGCATTGAGGGGCTTGACCCTGGATTCGGCGACGATCCCTTCACATCGGGGTTCGCGTGCCCCGATGGATCGGGAATCGCCCCCCCAGGGTGCAAGTCGTTCGGTTGGGGTTTCGCGTTTCTCGACGTGGACGGTCGTGTCGTCAAGGCGGGTCGTGGCACCCTGGGGGGGCCCGACTGTCGGGATCGGCCCTGAGAGCGGAGCTCATGGGCCTTCTGAGGGTCCTCCAGCACGGGAGAGCCCCCCTTCAGGTTGTTGTGGACAACAACACTGTGTATCGAGGCTTCCAGCGTGGAGAGGCCTGGTGCACTAAAGCCAGGAGACCCCACGCGGACCTTTGGCGCCGCATCTGGATGCTAGTGCGCGATGATTTTCAAGGCCCAGGCGCACTCGAGATGGTCAAGGTGAAGGCCCACTCTGGCCACGACCCCGACACCCTCGTCGGCCAAGACCGCCTCGACGTCCTGGGCAATGCGCAGGCGGACCTCCAGGCCAGGAAGGGCGCGGCCCTCCACGGGCTCCCCGACGGGCTGAGGCAGCTTTGGCAGCAGCGGTCCAAGGACTCTATGAGCATCTGTAATTTTGTGGCCTGCATGACTACGCAGGTTGGCACGTTCAAAGACACCACTGGACGCCAGGCCCAGGTTCGGAGCGGGGTCCGACTTCGGAGGCGCGTTCGGGAGGGACCTCCCCCTGGGACCCGACCCCACCACCTCACCTGGGACTGCAAGGCGTGGAGGTGTCAGCAGTGCGGCCGCTTCTCGGGCACGACACAGGGGATGCGCGCCCTTTTTCGCACCCCCTGCAGGAATGCTCATTCCAGAATGGCCCGCTTCGTGCTGCCCGCCAGGACCACGCCTGGGCCACCCAGCCGACAGCACGTTCTAGTGCGCGCTGGAGGTTTTGTGTTTTGTGGCAATTGCGGTGTCTTTTCGGGCGGACGGGCCAAGAAGCTCTGCCTGCCCTGCGAAGGCGAGCCTGCCAATGCGCAGGCAAAGTGTCGCCGTGGAAAGCTGCTCAGGGGAGAGAGAACCCATACACAAGTCAAAGACTATGTGACGGGGAGGCTGCCCCTCTCCCACTCTCAGAGCAGCGAGAGGTGTTGGCGGCGCTTCAGGCCCGCTAGCGCTGTTCTTCGACCTCGGTGAGCTGCGGTGCGCCATCGGGGAGTTCGCAAACAAACAAACTTCTCGGGGGTGATATTTGGGCCGCCTTCGGGCGTCTGGCGGGGGTCTAGGGCCGTTGGAGGCCATTTTGGACCGTTTTAGGGGGGTCTCTTGGAACCGCCGCCGACACACCTGCCTGGCTTGGCAGGGACTTCCAGAAGCCCAGAAATCTCGCGGGATTCTTTGAGGGCGCCCAGGAACCCCGGACGCCGGGGATCCTGTTTCGGGGGGGGGGGGGGTGCGTCCGCAGGGCCCCAGGTTGGGAAAAAACATAGAAAAATACACACACACACACACACACACACACACGCAGTCTTTAAATAGAGAGAGAGGGAACACAATCACAAGAGCGAGCGCACAGAGAGCGGAAGAGAACGATAGAGAGAGAGAGATTGAGATTGAGATTGAGAGAGAGGTTCATATACTTCAGCGGCGAGAGGAAGGCGAAGGAGAGGGGAACGGAAGGAGGAGGCGCAGAAGGAAAAGGGGAGAGGAGGATGTGGAGAAATGGTGTTTTGTTTTCTTCGCATGTCTCTTCATCCTGCCGCTGCTGCCCCTCCTCCTCCTCCTGTTCCTCCTCCTCCTCGTCCTCTTCCTCGCCCTCTTTGGTTAGACTCTGGCAGCAGATCTGGCAATTATTTGGGGAACAAGAGTGGGATATGAGACCACCGCAGGCATGAGGAAATGGTGCAACTGTGTGAACGTAGGAGCAGCAGCAACTACAGCGGCGGGCAAGGATCCTCAGCGAGGAGAAGACCCTCGCACTCACCGCGTTCGGGTGGGGCTGCACCAGCTTCGGGAGCGAACCCCGCCGTTTTTCGGGCAGGGGCTTCGGGTTCGCGCGCGCGCCTCAGCCCCTGGAGACGCATTCTGGCTTTGGCCAACGTCCGATGGCCGTGGGAACCCAAACCCCGCTCGAATGCCCGCAACGGGATAGTCAGGAGGATGAAACTTTGCTTCGAGTCCCCCAAGCTGTGGCATATCGGGCACAGCGTTGCATGATTGGCGCAGACTCCAAACACGGAGTTCGATTGGCATTTTGCGATGGCAGCAGAGCGCAACGCGATTACAATCGTAACAACATAAGGCGGCGTGTACAGAAAGCGTTGCTGCCGCGGTTTCCTCCGCTTGCTCCCACGGGCAGGGTGGCATGCAGACGGGGGCACGATTGGAGCAGGAGGAGGAGGAGGAAGAGTAAGAAGAAGAGAAGGTGGCGCTCCCATCACCTCCACATTCCCCTTCCTCCTTCGCATCTACAGCCTTCTCCTCCTTCTCGCCCCTCCTCCACCCTCATGCTCTTGCTGGGGCCCAGGAGGCTGCCTGACTGCTAACAGGGGCAGCGGCGCAGGCGGTCCGAGCGGAGGCCTTGGGCAGGAGCCCACAGCGGGCAGCGCCAGCCGACAATGTGTAGCCGTCATGGCAGATTCGGGCAGAGCGCGCTCACAGCAGAGCAGACCAGCCACAAGTGGGGGAGCTGTGTTCGTTCTCCCCTGCGGGACCCGTCGGCTGCGACACCCCCCATCGAGAAATTGTCGATATGATGGATTCCCCAGGGGGCGGTAAGGGACACAGCTCCCCCAGTTGCGGCCGGTCGGCACCAAGTCACACGGTCTGCCCTCATCACGTCTCCCTCTCTCTCTTTCCGCCTTTCTCCTCTTCACCTTTCGTCTTGCTTTTTGGCAATTACCAGTCCGTTGCATCATGCTTCCCGTCGTTGTCCCCTGGCACCCGGCGAGCTTCGTCGGCATTGCGGTGTTTTTGCGTTTTCCAGCATGCTGTACAAATCCGACTCTGGGAGCGCGGAACGTTAAGGCGTTCCTCGTCTTCCTCATAGGCGATGAAGTGTGCAAGAGTAAAGTCCAATCTCGCGTGAAGAGCGGCAGTGACAGGTGCACAGGCGAGACGCCTTTGCTGCATAAAGCATCGACTGGATGACCTCAGCTGCAGGGTGTCAGCGGTATCGTTTGTTGGGGTAGGCGCGCGAGGAATCACGTGATGGTTAACAGTACGGACGCTAGTGACAGATATAAGCACAAAGAGGGAGCGCTTGAGTGTGCAAACGGTCGCAGAGGAGACAGGCAACCCCCTCCTCCACATTAGCATCATCATGTCATGTTTGATCTGCTGGAGGCTGGCGTTCAGCCGCGGATTCTTGGACCTCGCCCTGCTCCGGTGCGTGTGCATGGCCTTCCTGTGCGCCAGTTTGCCAGTGACGCAGGCGACGAATGCCGAATCGGAAGACACGACATCAGCAGCAGCAGATGCAGAGGTCAGCAGTATCGAGTATTTGGAAAATGAACACGAGGAGCATCAAGAGTTTTCGTCAAGAGATAGAACGACCATGGGGAGATGGGGGAGAGAGAAAGGGGAGAGCGGGGGAGCGGGGCTCAGGAAAGAAAGGTGGGGAGGACGGACGAGTGGGAAGGAAGGACGAACGAGGAGAGGAAGGAAGGTAGAGGACGAAGTTAGGAGGGATATCACTTGCAGAAGGGGGGAATACCGATCGACTTTCGCAGCCGTTCGCACAAACAGCGGGGCGGTCGACGTAAAAACACGAAGGCACGTTAGATTAGCAAAGTGCTAGAACATGAGTTTTGACACGCGGTCGTCTGAGTTTGGATCAGATATAAGCAGCACGCAACGGGTACCCGATGGGATCGGACATTTCGTCTTGAAGCAAGAACGACATAACAGTAGATTGCGGGAGCAAGAAGCTCGCGTGCTTGCGCATCATCATCATCATTTGAGGGAAGGTACCTGAGATCAGGCGCAGGGTTAGCCATAGTTAACTCTGGTGGTCGGAACTTCGGTTTGTTGAACGATGAGAGTTCGGAGCCCTCAGGCTCTTCCGACGTGGCTCCACAGCGAAATGGAACATTCATCCGAGGAGTCTGGGTTCGAGCTCAACGAAGAGGAGGAGGAGACGGACCGGAAGCCGCTGAACGGGGTCGACTTCGTCGATTCCCCCGTGCCCCTGGGGATTCCCGTCGAGCCTGCGGCGACGATGACGGGCTTGCTCAAGCAAGTCGACCAGGGGGCGCAGAGGGCATGGCGCAGTACCTTGTCGGGCATCGAGCTGCTTGTCCTCCCCCTGGCGGCCGCGCTCGCAGCGCTCCGAGCCCGGGTGCAGCCAGGTGCCTGCCATGGCGCCGCGCTCCTCGTGGTCCGCGGAGCCTGGGCCCAACGCCTGGACGTGGTCTACGACCGCTGGGTCGCCGAGCTCCTGGACTCGGCCCAGCCGGCCCCGCAGACCTGCACCCGTGAGGTCGGGATGCCATGGCGGCGCAGCACGGCCACGCTGCACCAGACGTCCGGCCTCTGGGCTCGCATCCAGGCCCTGCCCTGGACCGCCCTGCCCAGGCGGGCGTGCTCCGCTTGGCGGAGGGCGCCCACGCAATCTGGGAGGCCATGCAGCAGCACGCGCGCAACCTCGGGGCGCGGCCGCTTTGCGCTTGGGTCGAGGCAACCGCGGCGGCGCCCCAGGAGGAGGAGGAGGAGGAGGAGGAGGAGGAGGAGGAGGAGGAGGAGGAGGAGGCGGCCGCGGGGCTGCGGGCACGGCCTGGGCGGGCGCGCCGGCCACGGAGCTGGCGCGGCGCCGCGCCACGGGCGCGGGCGTCCTGCCGGGGGTGAGCGTGGCGGCGCGGCTCGACCCGGGGGGTCGAAGGTGCTGTGGCCGACCAACCCGCTGGGACCGCGGAGAAGCGGCGACGCAAGACCCCCCTTGCACCGGACGGAGGAGGGGGAGGAGGGGGAGGAGGAGGAGGAGGAGGAGGAGGAGGAGGAGGAGGAGGAGGAGGAGGAGGAGGAGGAGGATCACGCGATTGCCTATCCGTCTGGGCTCAGCGTGCCCCTTCCCCCTTCCCCCTCCCCCTCCCTCCCTGCCACACTTTCCGCTGCCCCTCCCCGCTCCCCCGCCCCTGTCGCGCCAGGGCCCGGGCCTCTCTCCCGCCTGCCTGTCCCCTCTCCCTCCTTTCCCCTCGCTTCACAGGGCCAGAGGCACCCTTCGACCCCGGGGGCGGCCTGGCAAGAGTGCGCGCCCCCGACGGGCGTCCGGCGACCACCAAACGATGTACGGGGCTCGCTGGGTCGCTAGCAGACCGTCGGGGGTCCTCGCTCTCTCTTTCTCTCTCTCGCTCTCTCTCTCTCTCTCGCTCTCTCTCTCTCGTTCTGTACAGATACACAAGACTGCATTGGCGCTGCGCGCCATGCACCTTGGTCTGTCACGTCTAACACGCATGCAGAATGAGAGAGAGGTAGATCAAGGAAAACAGCGGTCGTTTTTGGCTGCAGTTGTCGACATCACCGTTGTCAAAGTGTTGTTCCTTCTCCTTCCCTCATGTGTCATCTTCCTCTTCCTCGTTCTCGCCTTAATTTCCCCGCGACGCACCCCCCCGTCCTCCTCAGATTTGTTTGCAGAGGCTCATATGACGCCTCTGACGCGAGCTTCTGGAGGACCTCGGGAAAGCTTCTTTCGGGCTCTTCGGGTGCCTGTGGAGACGTCCCTGGCGCCTGTTTGCGGCCTGTGGACGGTTCCTCGGGCCACTATGCCGCGAACCGTGGTCTCGGCTCACGGTTCGAATGTTTCCGGAGGACGTATTGGTGCAAATGTGGCCCGTCATGGGGCCTTCTGTGGGCAGTTTCTGAGCCCTCTAGGGCCGTCTTGGGGCTCTCTAGTGTCAGGAAGCCTTTCTTGGTCGTGTTGGAGCGGTTTTCAGTGCCTCTGTAGGCCACCATACAAAAACGAATAGGAAATCATTATCAATCATCCTGTGGTGTTGGGTCCTTGTTTGGAGAAGACATCGCCCCGCGTCCCTCCTCCCCCTCCTCCTCCTCCTCCTCCTCCTCCTCCCTCCTCCTCCTCCTCCTCCTCATCATCATCATCCTCATCTTCTTTCTGTCCCTGCCTCTACGCTCCGCAATCAGCATCAGCACATCATCATACTCATCAGCTTCATCTTCATCATCATCATCATCATCATCATCATCATCATCATCATCATCATCATCATCATCATCATCATCGTCTTCATCATGGCAGCATCATCATCAGCATCAACAGTAGCATTATAATCATCATCATCATCATCATCATCAGCAGCAGCAGCAGCAGCAGCATCAGCAGCATCAGCATCAGCATCATCACCATCATCAGTATCATCATCACCGCCATCATCAGCATCATCAGCATCATCAGCAGCACCACAATCATCATCACCATCAGCAGCATCATCATCGTCATCATCACCATCATCGTCATCATCATCACCATCATCATCATCAACATCATCATCGCCATCATCAGCATCATCATAATCATCATCATCACGATCATCATCACCACCACCACCACCATCATCATCATCATCATCATCATCATCATCTTCATCATCATCATCATCATCATCATCATCGTCATCGTCATCGTCAGCATCATCATCAATACGGCGCACGTCTCACGAGGATCGTGGCCCCGTATGGAGCTCCACAGAAGGCTCCACTGGCAGGGTTTGCCTAGCGGCGCCGTACCTACTTCGGTACACCCCTTACTATGATCGTGGCCCCATAGGGAGCTCCACAGACGGCTCCAGTGGCAGGGTCTGCGTGGCGGTGCCGCACTCATGTCGGTTCACCCCGCACGGGGATCGTGGCCCCGTAGGGAGCTTCACACAAGACTCCACTGGCAGGGGTTAGACGGCGGCGCCGGCACGCTTTGCGGTACACCCCTCACGGGGATCGTGGCCCCGTAGAGAGCTCCACAGAAGGCTCTACTGGCAGGGGGTGGATGGCGGCGCCGCACCCTTTGCGGTTCACCCCGCACGGGGATCCTGGCCTGGTAAGGAGTTTCACAAAAGGCTCCACTGGCAGGGGTTGCACGGCGGTGCCGCACCCATTTCGGCTCATCGGCCCGCACGGGGATCTTGGCCCCGTATGGAACTCCACAGCAGGCTCCAGTGGCAGAGTTTGCATGGTGGCGCCGCACCCATTTCGGTACACCCCTCACGAGGATCGTGGCCCTATATGGAGTTCCACGGCACACTGGAGGAGGAGGAGGAGGAGAAGGAGGAGGAGGAGGAGGAGGAGGAGGAGACTGAGGAGGAGACTGAGGAGGAGGAGGAGGAGGAGGAGGAGAGGAGGAGGAGGAGGAGGAGGAAGAGGAGGAAGGGGAGGGCGGGAGAAGAAACCTGTCAGCCCCGAGATGGAACCTGTGGGGCGTGGATACGTGCAGAGAGGGAACCATTACATCCCGAGATGGTGGCCCTACAGGAAGACATGTCGAAAGATGGACCCACAACACGGCACCCACAACTGCATATGAGTGGGATTGTCGCTTGGATGTTTTTCTGTTTTTTTCGAAAGCCTTTGGGGATGAGATTTGGGCCGTCTTCGGGCGTTGGGCAAAGGTGCGGGGCCGCTGGAGGCCATCTTGGACCGCCTCGGGGGTCTCTCGGGGCTGCTGCTGACCCATTTGCACGGCTCGGCAAGGACTTCCAGGGGCCGGGAAATATTGCGGGACCATCTGAGGAGGCGGGCGCACAGGAGTCTTGGACGCCGGGGGTCCAGTTTCGGAGTGGGGCGGGTGTCCGCAGGGTCTTTGATTATAAGTATTGAAAAAGGGAGGTTATGAATATACAGTGTGTATATATGTATATACATACATACGCGCACTTATCTACTTGCGCACCTTTAATCTACATCCTGCGCGGAAAAATCAACCAATAAACAGATGGCCGCCCCCCCCATACCCTTCGGATGGTACTACCCAGCCCCGGGACGCCTGATGAAAGAGCTCCCGGACACCCGAAAACGCCCCTCTCACTGGCCCAAGAGGCCCCCAAGTTGGCCCAAGAGGTTCCCAAGGCGTAAAAAGAGACACCCAGAATAGTCCAGGAGCGCTCCCAAGAGGGCCCAAGACGGCTTCTAGACGACCACGGAGACCCTCAAGACGGCCCAGGAGGCACCCCAGAGGGCCCCCAAACGGCATAAATCGTCGTATTTCCTTTGGGAAACGTATATGTGTGTACCATACTCGCTTCTTCGGTCTGAACAGCGTCCGAAACGAAGCAAGGGGCCCCCAAGATCGCCCCAGGACGGCCCAAGAGGCCAGAAGAGGGCCATAGGAGGCCCCCTGGACGGCCCAAGAAGGCCCAAAGACGGCCCAAGCTCCCCAAGACGGCCCAAGAGGGTCCTAGGACGGCCCAAGAGGGGCCCCAGCCGGCCCAAAAGAGCTTCACAAGGACTCCCAAGAAGGCCCAAGAGGCCCCCAAAATGCCCCCAAAAGGCTCCCAGAAAGCTTCCCAATTGGCCCCCAGAAGCGTATGGGAGGTCTCGCGTCTAAGTTCTGTCCGACGTTCTCAAAAAGGCTTCCAGACGCCCCCGATTCACTAACCATGCAGGGCTTCCAGAGGCCCCACAGAAACACGCCGCGAGGCCCCGACGGGCACCCAAGACGCCCCGACTTCAGGATCCAGGTCAGGGGTGTGCCGCCATGGCGGCACGACGGCCCCAGCGGCATGACCACGACCCCCTTCGCGGTCATGTCCGTGTCCCCGCTTCATTGGGCGGCCGCCGCTTCATCCCCCGAGACAGTTCATGTCTTCTCGCTCCGGCCAGCTATAGACCAGTCGGCACCGTGAACGCCAAGGCCCCCTAGAGCCCCCTCAAGTCTGAGACCCCCCCAACAGCTTCCAAACAACACCCAGGCCACCTCCAAAACGAGCGTATATCAGGCGGCTGCTGGTCGTCCTCATTCGCGTCCTGCTCTGCATCTTCTGCTCCACCTCCTACTTTGCCATTGTCTTCCATGTTCGCCCCATCGTCATCGGCCAGCTGTACGCCAGTCGGCGCCGTGAACGCCAAGGCCCTTTCAAGCCAGCTCAAGCCTGAGACCCTCCCTGAAGGCGTGCAAACAACACCCAGACAACCTCCAAGACCCGCGGACTATGTTAGTCATCGCCATCGTCTTCCACCGACCACGAAACGACCAAGAGGGCCGCGAGATGCACAAATCAACGAGTATTCCAGACCTGGTGGTGGATTCGGATTTGGTGCACGCTGCCCCCCAAACGCCCCAGAGGCTTCCAATAGGCCCTGAGACGGCGCAGAGGCCCCAAAGGCACGTAAGAAGCTTTGAAGCTTTGACGACGACAGAGAATTTGTCACTGCGCGCCCCCCTTCTCACGGTGGGGCCCCCCACTCCTTCTCCGAGCGATGACCTTGACCCCCCTCGCGGTCATCAGCGTCGCCACCTCCTCGTACCGAACCTTGCCACTCTCCGACGACCCTTACACCCCCCCCGCCCCCAATGCCCGCGGCCCCCATTTGCACCCACGGACATCGTTTTTCGGCCTAGTGACCTTCACACACTTCGCGGTCATCACATCCGCTCCCTATTCCGTCATTACTTGTTCCCCCTCCTGGCGACCGCGGGACCGTCTGTCTCGTCGTGCTCGTCCTCCTGGTCGTTCTCGTCCTCCTCTCCTTCGTCCTCGCCGTCCTGGCTGCTAGCTGCGGATCACTCGTTTCTGTTCTCACTCCGTCGACGCTCATGGCATTGCTCCTTGAACGTCACGACCACAACCCCCCTCGCGGTCACCACTTCCTTCCACCTCGCATGCGTGACTTTGGCCCCGTCACACCGATGCATTTGTTCCCCAATGAAAGACATGCCGATGGTCCGTTCCACGATGATGACAATGACCCCCCTCGCGGTCATCATCTGCGTTCACCCAGTACCCAGGCACCGAATGGTTGAGAACGCATGGACGCAGGATCAAGGTTGAGGCGAAGCGAAGCGAGCCCTCAAGACTTCTGTGTATTTCTACACGTATACTTAACATCATTTAACCAGTTTGCCCGGAGAAGCCCGCGCGAAGCGAAACAGCAGTGGCACGCGGACGATAGACGGGGGAAAAAAGGGAGAGCAGGAGGAGGAGGAGGAGGAGGAGGAGGAGATGATCCGAAGCCCAGCTTGAGAAATGGCGATGCTTTTCCTGTTCCAGCCAACAGGCTACGGGGGATGCGCTGCGACGTGGCGTAAGGGGAGGGGTTAAGACCTCCCCCGAAGCAGAAGAAGATGACTCGGATGACCCATTCTGGCGGAATTTGCGTAATTGTCGTCTCTGGAATTGCGTGCGCCTATCTGCAAACCACTTGTATGGTTCGTAGTGATTATTTAGTTTGCGTCTTCATTGGACTAAAGCGCTATGATACTTTATTGACTCAAGGTGTTAGCGGCTACACAAAGATATTGGCGACCGAATCCCACGAATAACAGGTGCCTCTGTTGCTCAGGAGTTCACTCCAGAGGCGCTTCCACAAGCTAGCCAGCCATCCCATTCCTCCTCGTCCTCCACTTCCCTCTGATACCACCCAGTAGACCTGATTTGGCTACTGACTGCAGAACAAAGAAAACTCCTTCAAGGAGCGCGGAATTCCTTTGAACGCTCTTAGCCCTGGACGAGCGTCTGCCTCGTCTTGTGTTTTTGTTGTCCGTCATTTCTTTTCTTGGGGCCGTGCTCTCCTTTCCCCTCTCATATGTTCCTCACCTTCGACCTCCTCATCATCCCTCCTCATTTCGTCCTCCTCCCTCCCCCGTCTCCATCCGCATCAGCATCAGCATCCTCATCATCA